TCCGGGGCCGGGAGGGGGGCAGAAGAGTTTCCCTGGTGGTGCCCAGAGTGGCCACCAGGGAAAGCTGGGGAGGGCTAGCCTCCCACTAGTTCGAATTAAGTGGCTACACAGTCCTTAATTCGAACTACTTAATTCGAACTAGGCGTTAGTCCACATGGAATGAGGTTTACCTAGTTCGAATTAAGCGCTCCGCTAGTTCGAATTAAGTTCGAACTAGCGGTTTGCTAGCGTAGCGCCTATCAAAGTTAATTCGAACTAACGTCTGTTAGTTCGAATTAACTTTGTAGTGTAGACATACCCTAATAGGTTATGTGGCTTAACTCATATGATGGATCTAAAAGTTTGGCACTGCTGGTAACCCATGTGGGTTTCAATATGATGCCAGACGATGGAATCTCTGTTTTTCCAGGTTGCATATTTAAAAACCTAGGAAAATGCATACAAACAATGTTAAAGGTCAAGCACTCTGAACTCAAGAAATTCTAGAATTAAGGAAACCCTGAAACCTTAATTTGGCCCAGTGAACACATGCATCAAGATACAGGCTGCCCCCGACTTGCGATGCGATCGGTTATTGGGACAGCGTCGCAAGTCGGGGCGCCGTAACTTGAGCCTGCATTTACAACAGGCGTCATGCGCTGTCATAAATGTGGGGCCAAGGACGTTAAGTCAGGGGATTTCAGCCCCTTCCGCACTTAAGGAAAAGATCGTAATTACAGGGGGTCGTAAATCGGGGGCCTCCTGTAGCCTTACATTTCATGCTCATGTTTCCGATAAGATCTGACTCATTCCGTATACAAGTGGGACTTGCACAGGGGGGTGAATCACAGTAGTGTAATGGTGAATGAGGCCGCAAGATTGTCATAACCACGCCAGTCTCCTGTGTGCAAACTGTGCTTGCGTAGCTAGAATTTGTGGAGTGTGCCGATTGAACCATAGTGGCACTTTGACTGGATACATGTAGAATGCCAGCGGGCCACATACAGCCTGTGGGCCACAGTTTGCTCACAAGGGGACTAATGACGCCTCATCTAACAGGAGTGTTAGAAAAATAAATTCCTTGATGCCTGTGAAGCACTCAGATACTATGCGATGGTCTTCATGGCTGAGGATGTGCTGGAAATTCCCAAACATGAGCCATTCCTTTTAGGTTATAAGTCTGAGGAACTGTCCCAGATCAAGGCGTCATTAAAGGTGGTTTTGGAACAAATTGATAAACTAAATAGTAATAAGCCACCTGGACCAGATGGCATTCACCCAAGAGTTTTGAAAGAAATCAAGTGTGAAACTGTGCAACTACTAACTGGTTTGTAACATTCCTTTAAATCAGTTTCTGTACCAAATGGCTGGGGGATAGCTAATGTGGCGCCAATATTAAAAAGGGCTTGAGGGGTGATCCTGGAAATTACAGGCCGGTAAGTCTAACTTCAGTAGTGGAGAAATTGGTTGAAACTATAGTAAAGAACAGAACTGTCAGACCCATAGATGAATGTAATTTGTTGGGGGAAGAGTCAACTTGTTTTTTGTAAAGGGAAATCATCTCTCACCAACCTACTAGAGTTCTTTGAGGCAGTCAACAAGCATGAGGACAAGGGGGATCCAGTGGATAGAATTTACTTAGATTTCCACAAAGCGTTTGACGAAGTCCCTCACCAAAGACGCTTAAGCAAAGTAAGCTTTCATGGGATAAGAGGGAAGGTCCTCTCAGATTGATAACTGTTAAAAGACAGGAAATAAAGGGTAGGAATAAATGATCAATTTTCAGAATGGAGAGAGGTAATTAGTGGTGTCCCACAGGGTACATACCGTGAAATGATTTGAAGAAAGGGGTAAACAGTGAGGTGACAAAATTTGCAGATGATACCAAACTGCTCAAGATAATTAAGACCA